AAGAAAAAGAGAGGGTTTAAAATGAGGATATGACAGTCTTCAAAAATTAATGAATAAATAAATAAAATATTTTAAAAAAATTTATGGAAAATGAGTATTATTTAAAAAACTATGCATGGATTTTAAAAAATTTGCACCGAATAAACTTATCTTTTAAGTCCATTCTTCCATTAAATTTTTAAGCACCTTCATATTTAGGAGACAAGAGGGGGGGCTGGCGCTGTGGCCTAGCAGGTGAAGCCACCACCTGCAGTGACAGCATCCCATGTGGGCACCATTTCGAGTTTCCACTTCCCATCCAGCTCTCTGCTATGGCCTGGGAAAGCAGTACAAGATGGCCTAGGTCCTTGGGTCCCTACACCCACGTGGGAGACCTGAAAGAAGCTCCTGGCTCCTGGCTTCGGATCAGCACAGCTCCGGCCATTGTGGCCATTTAGGGAGTGAACCAATGGGTGGAAGATACCTCCCTCTCTCTCTCCCCCTTTGCGTCTCTGTAACTCTGCCTCTCAAATAAGTAAATAAATCTTAAAAAAAAAAAGAGAGAGAGAGAGAAAAGAGAAAAAGGAAAGGAGGTACAGTTTCACTGAAGAAATAGGACTGTAGAAGAAATGGTGGTGAGTAGTATCAAGGACTACAGAGAAGATGGGGAGACTGGCATACAAAAAGACATTGGACTTAGGAATCAGAATTTTTTAAGAGTTAGTTATTTATTTGAAATGCAGAGTTTACAGAGAGAAGGAGAAAGAGAGAGAGAGACCTTCCATCTGTGGTTCACTCCCCAAATGGCCACAATGACCAGGGTTGGGCTAAGCCAAATCCTGGAGCCAAGAGCTTCTTCTACAAGGGTGCAAGGGGCCCAAGGACTTGGGCCATCTTGTATTGCTTTCCCAGGTGCATTAACAGGGAGCTGGATTGGAAGTGGAGCAGCCAGGACTTGAACCTGAACCCATATGGGATGCCGGCATAACAGGCAGCAGCTTTACCTGCTTCGCCACAATGCAGGTCCCAGGAATCAGGATATTATTGGTGATCTGTAAGGAAGCAGATTCAGTGAATTATAGAGGCAGAAACCAGATTACCAGCAATTTTGAGTCAGTTTTGCAGATGTAGAGGCAGTAAGCCTTGATCACCTTTTTAATAAATGTGTAGAAAGGAATGTTGCAAGAGGATAAGCTTAGGTATGATGTGATGAGATGTTAAACTAAATTGAAAAGGAAAAGGAAAAGAGGAGTTGGCAGGGCTGGCACTGTGGCGTAGTGGGCTAAGCCGCTGCGTGCGGTGCCAGAATCCCATATGAGTGCTGGTTCATATCCTGGCTGCTCCTCTTCCGATTCAGCTCTCTGCTGTGGCCTGGGAAAGCAGTGGAAGATGGCCCAAGTCTTTGGGTCCCTGCACCCAAGTGACTCCACGTGGGGGACCTGGAAGAAGTTCCAGGCTCCTGACTTCAGATGGGCTTAGCTCTGGCCAATGAGGCCATCTGGAGAGTGAACCAGCAGATGGAAGATTCCTCTCTCTTTCTGCCTCTCTCTGTGACTCCCTGTCTCTCAAATCAATCAATAAAATCATTAAAAAAAAAAAAAAAAAAAAAAAAAAAACTTGGTATCTAGAGAGCCTGAGGACTTAGAGTTGACAGATCTTGGAGACTGACTAATGAAGAGATTGAAAGGGAAAGGATTCTGTAGTCTTAATACTTGGAGGATGGAAGTAGGGAGACTAATAAACATAAATATGTCATAAAATAGAAGGAAGTTTGAATTCAAAGATGACAAGCTTGATAGACATGTTTGGTATTTCTTAGGGATACTAAGTAGAATGTCCCCTTCACTCTGCTCCAATAAACTTCCTCCCAAGGAATGGGAAGGATCTCTTCATTAGAATGAACTGGTATCGGGGCTGGTATTGTGGCATAGTAGTGTAGCGGGTTATATATTCCTGCAGTGACAGCATCCCATATAGGCACTGGTTCAAGTCTCAGCTGCTCCACTTCTCTCAACTTCTGATCCAGCTCCCTGGGAAAGCAGTGGAGGATGGCCCAAATTCTTGGGCCCCTGCACCCATGTGTGAGAAGCTCCTGGCTCCCTGCTTCATTGGCCTCTCTGTCTCTGTAACTCTGCCTTTCAAGTTAAATAAATAAATAAATAAAATTTGGGAAAAAAAAAAAAGAATGGACTGATGTCTTTTCCTCATTGTTTCAGTAGACTGTCTTTGGAGGCTGGGTGCTAAGCTTGATAATCTCTCAGGAGTCCTCTTTATATTTTAATTTATCCCACCATTCCTCTCTTTTTACACTCACATAATAAACTGCTGATCCCCAGTAACAATTCAGACAGGTTAGCCAGGTCATTTTTAGATAAGACTCTAAAGCAAACCAGCAACTATAGCAGAAACATTTTTGGTCCAGTCAGTCCAAGTGACTTCCCTCATCCCTGCTATGTGACTCTTACCCTTTCTTTTATGGCTCTTTGTCTCAAATACTGTCTTCTTTGCTCTACAGGCAAATTATAAAGGACTAAAGCTAAGGTTTGAGGTTGAGCCGGGTTGGTAAAGTATTGACTCCCAGAGAAGGCCTACTTAAGGCCAACATTCTGAGGAAAACAGCAGATCTTCTGTCCTCTGTTTTCAGAAATAACCTACACTTTGATCTTCAGTATTATCTAATGTATACTAACCATGGAATAACCTGAGTCTGGTCAGATTCACATCTAACTAAATGAAAAGGATTCTTTTTTCTGCTGGCCCTCTCTGTCTGCCGTTGTTGGTTTTCAGTAGTCAAGTTTTTCCGTTGAGGTTCTTTTAAACGCCTACATGCAAACTGAAGAGCACTCAAGCTTTGGTGGGATAGCACCCACAGCTGGAGTGATGGAGGAAGAGAGGAGTATACAAGCCTCAGGTGCATCCTTCTCTTAAAAAATTGTTTAAAAACAAAAACCACTTAAGCAAACCAATTCCAAATGAAAGCAGGCACGACCTGTCCAGAGAAAGAAGGAAATGACCCTCATTGATAGCAATTCATGTACAACCCAGATGCACAGGATGGGGAAATTTGAAACATGTTGAATTTATCCCACAGCCCTGCATCTCTGAGTGAAAGGTTGTGAACCATGAACTGTGGTAAGAGGCAGAGGAACCGTGTTGTAGCTATGGCTCCTTTGTTGGTGGTTAGGCCCTGTCTTGCTCTGTTAAGCAAACATGGTTAATACAGATGAAAGGTAACCTTGATAGAAGTGAAAATTGAAACTTGGGTTGAAGGTAGCAAGCCAGGCACAGCTGCAGTTGTACTTCCTCCTGTGTGGCAACAGGAACAACATTTATTGATGTTTTTTGAAGGGATGTAGTTTTTTTTAAGTATCTTTTTTAAGAGTGTTTTGGTGTTAACATCTACACCACTGATAAGAGGGTGTGGAGTATAGTTGGTAATAAGCCAGTTAGATCTTATACGTGAATTATGTGAAATCAAACCTAAGTAACTGATAGCTCAGGGTCAAGTTTAGTGCCCTAATCACACCTCTGCCAGCAACTGGTTGTATAAGTTTGGATAAATCCCTGAAAACATGTCTGCTCCCAGATTTCTTGATCTGAAAAATAAGGATGAGATGATCTATAAACTCCCTTCCAGCCCTAAATCCCATTGATTTGCAAATTCCTCATGAGGAGGTCTAACTTCCTTTTCCTAAGAATCAATGTTTGAAAAAGTAATCATTTATATAACATATTTTATATATTTATACATGAAAATCCTCTTATCAGGTGAATGTTTAGGTTTGTTCCTATTCAACACATAAATTTGCCCTTTTTTATGTTTTCCACTAGAAGAGTGTTATAGCTGTTTTGGAAATAATATTTGGTGAGCCAACGCTTTTTTTTTTTTTTTTTTTTTTGACAGGCAGAGTGGACAGTGAGAGAGAGAGACAGAGAGAGAAAGGTCTTCCTTTGCTGTTGGTTCACCCTCCAATGGCCGCTGCGGCCGGCACACTGCGGCCAGCGCACCGCGCTGATCCAAAGGCAGGAGCAGGTGCTTCTCCTGGTCTCCCATGGGGTGCAGGGCCTTAAGGACTGGGCATCTCACTGCACTTCCGGGCCACAGCAAAAGCTGCTGAAAAGGGGCAACCGGGACAGAATCTGGCGCCCCGACCGGGACTAGAACCCGGTGTGCCGCCACCGCAAGGCGGAGGATTAGCCTATTGAGCCGCGGCACTGGCTTGAGCCAACGCTCTTGACCTATTTTCTCCTCTCTTACCCAGTCCTGCAATCCTAGGGTCTTGACTTTAGTTCTCCTTATCTTTGGTATGAATACCTTTCCCCTTGCTCAGATTGAACCTCATTTACCTGTGTCATGGAAGTAGCTCCTTAAATTATGTAAAAGAATTACTTCCCCTTTTATCTTTCTCAACACTATTTCACTAGTACTGACAGCTTCCTCTACATTCAGTGTTGTGTTTTTATCTGTTCCAAGAAGAGACAGGGAGATGAGACATGGCTTAGTAGTTCATATACATGCAAGAGGAAAAGGCTAAAGAATCAGAAGAATCATGTTGACTCTTCAGTTCTCAATCTTACTGGCTTAAAGTAGATCCATCTGAAGGATTGAAACAGTAATTTTCTGTTTGAAACCTAAGAGCACCTTGCCTTTTGACTACAGTCAAGAAAAAAGGTACTAGATTTGAGATCCTTTCTTCTGTACTAGTACTAGAGAAGGTTGTTCAAAATATTTGTTTCATAGTTGCTTTGAGTAGTCATAGCTAAAAATCTGTTATCTCTAATTTTCTGGATAGCACAAAACATTCTCATCTATTTTCAAGTTTGTGAGTCTGTGTGTTTTTCTTTGTGATTCTAAATTCAGATATTGAGTGATCATTCTGATGTTGTTTCCTTGCCTTGTGGATATACAATTTTATGTTGGCTTCATTTGGTATTTGTCAGTTGTGAGTCTTTGCTTTTTGAGCTGGTCTGATAGCTCCACATACAGTCATTGTTCAATTCTTGCATTTTCTTCCCTGCAGATGATTCGATGAAAATGAAAGATGAATACAATGAAAGAGATGAGAGTGTTTTAAAGCCAGAGCCCATGGGAAATGTGGAAGAGCCTGAAATCCCTTACAGCTATTCAAGAGAATATAATGAATATGAAAACATTAAGTTGGAGAGACATGTTGTCTCATATGATAATAGCAGGCCAACCAGTGGGAAGATGAACTGCGATGTGTGTGGATTGTCCTGCATTAGCTTCAATGTCTTAATGGTTCATAAGCGGAGCCATACTGGTAAATACACTCCTTTTCCTTTCTTCTGTCCTGATGCAGTCACCGAGAAATGAAGTGAAAGGACTTCTGATGACTTTATTTATTTTTGCTATCACTCTGATGTATCTCTACCTGTCTGCATTGCCATATTTTTATTCCTGTTTTATCAATACATTTGGCAAACATATTGCAAATGCTTTGAATAAAAAAAAAGGCTTCAGTGAGCACAGTGTTTTTAAGTTAGCCAAATAATTTCTTTAGTTAATAATTAGGGGTTGAATGGTATTATTTGCTTCTTAGAAATTTTTCATGTATTTTTGCATAATACTTTTAATAAAAGCAGATTGTTATACCTGGTTCAACTTTGGTAGAATAAAGGATATAGCTTTTATTACTAATTTTAAAAAATTCACTTTCAGACAATAATAGGTAGTCTGTAGGAATGGGTACACACACAGTAATTCCCCCTGAGCCAAGAGAGACATCTAATATTAAGATTTTAGAAAGAAGCATTTCTGGCCCTTAACATCCTATTAAAACTTGAGTCTGTAACTCTTTTTTAGAGGAGATTATATTTTAAAAGAATGCTAAATATTATAAAAACTTAACATCTGGAAAACACTTCTAGAGCTACTCTTATTACTTGTTCTAACTGAAGACAAGATGATTCCTAAAATAGTCCTGCTAGATGGGTCCTTTTTCTCTCCATAAGTAAGACCTAACACTTATACACCTCAGAAGTCATTCTATTACGGACAGAAACTGTCTAAAAGTTGAGTTTTGCCATAGGCATCTAATCTGTGCATATGCTTCTGCACTCACCTACTGATTAGTAATCTCCTTTTTTGCTCTTTTTAAAGGTGAACGCCCATTCCAGTGTAATCAGTGTGGGGCATCTTTTACTCAAAAAGGTAACCTCCTCCGCCACATTAAACTGCACACAGGGGAAAAACCTTTTAAGTGCCACCTCTGCAACTATGCGTGCCAGAGAAGAGATGCGCTCACGGGGCATCTTAGAACACATTCTGGTAAGTGAGAGAATGAGCACCCTATGTCTGGCAACTGTGGGTTCCTCAGAGCCCAGTGTGGAAACTGGAAAGAGTTAAGGATGGAGGTTTTAATCTGTCATTCTTGCTCTGAAGGGTTACAACAGCAGAGACCTCTAGGGCTAATTACACTTCCATTAGAGCATTAATTGCTCTCCGTCTGCCTCAATGGGATGATCTCAACATCCTTGCTCCCCTGGAGAACAACACAGACAGGAAGAGCCTGCCTTATAAAAATGCCATTTAAATTTTTGTGAGGAAGTTATAGCCATCAGTATTTTCTTATGGTAAACTTTATTAAAGACGATTTTCCTAAGATGTGTACATGACATCTGAACATGTACACACACTCTCTCCATTCAATAGACCAGACAAGGGCCGGCGCTGTGGTACAGTAGGTTAATCCTCCGCCCGTGGCATCAGCATCCCATATGGGCGCCGGTTCTAGTCCCAGCGGCTCCTCTTCCAGTCCAGCTCTCTGCTGTGGCCTGGTATAGCAGTGGAAGATGGGCCCAAATGCTTGGGCCCCTGCACCTGCATGGGAGACCGGGAAGCTCCTGGCTCCTGGCTTCGGATCGGCACATCCTGCCATTGGGGCCATTTGGGGAGTGAACCAACAGAAGGAAGACCTTTCTGTCTGTCTCTCTCACTGTCTGTAACTCTACCTATCAAATAAATAAATAAAATCTTAAAAAAAAAAAAAAAACCGTAAGCTGCGGATAAATCACTTTTGAGGATTAGTTTTTGGCCAGTCTGGGCTAAATTTCTTAAATCCAACTTCCCTCTTAATCAGCTTAACCTGCTTTTACTCTCTGAAAGATGAGCTGTGATAAGAATTTGTTAAAAGCTATATGTTCTCTTGATGTTTTTACTCCTTATTTTGAGCAAGCAAGAGAATAATACATTTTTTCTAACACATAGAATTTCCCTCCCAGAAAAATGAGACTGAGTTTATTTTCAAATTTGGGACCTCATGTTCTTGATGTTATCTGACAAAATTATAATTGTTTAAAAAAGGGGGGGAGGGTTGTTTTTGTATCAATCCACATCTACTGTTTTGAGTAAAACCCAGCCCAAAACTTGAAACTGATCACATTTCAAGAGACTAGGATTAAATAAGCCAGCCCCAACAAAACCCACCAAAAGTCTCTTTGCTTTCAGCTCATTTTTCAAAATAATGAACTAAGGATAGGTTTGGTTCCCTAAAATTTGAATAGGTCTCTGTGTTGCCTTTTTCAAGTGTGGAAACATCAACAACAGGCATTTTTAAAACAGATTTTAGAGGTTCCCAATTTATGCAGAAATCTAATGTATTTAGTCCTACCAAACCTGCATTTATCTTACTTTGGGATTCCATAAGGATCTTTTAGTGCTTTAAATTCTAAATCCTATGTTTTAAACAGAGCAAGAAGAGTTAGAAAATACAAATTTTGGTCCTTAAAACTCTTACAAATTCATAGGGTATATTTAAAAAATGGGAAAGGCCAGCCTTGCACAGAGAGTTTATGTTATTACTTCAAACAATGAAGCTTTTGGGGGATGTAGGAAGACAAAGTTTGTCTGAATTGTCTGGGTGAACTTCTAAAGAAATTTTTTACTCATCTTAGAAATGTATATGAGGTCATTTTGCAATTCATCCTTAATTCTATTATTAGTTAATTAAATCAGTTTTTATTGTTTTAGCTTATGCTTTTCTATGGCCATTTGGCAAGGATGAACTCAATTCACCCAATTAGGTCAATGTTCTATAAAGGCCATCAGTGTCTGGCTGAATGGCTAACTCACACAGAACTACAGAATTCTTTCCTTACAATCAGATGGATGTCACAAAATAAGGAATCCCATCCTATTTCATTCTATACCACACTAACCTCCTTGAAAAATAAAAGAGCCTTTTATTTTTTTCCAAAAAAAAACAGGATTTTACCTGAAGCCCAAACACTATGCTAAATGGTAGTCATTAAATTCAAATTCTTTCTCTGTGACAGGATGTGATCCTTTCGGAGAACCCTGTTGGTATAATAACCAATCAGATCATAACATTATTTCAGCTTACTAAATTTAAAAGTATTGTAGATTCAAAAGTATCCAGCTACCCTGGCTTTGGTCAGTATTTCTAGTACAGTTTTCAGAGCCCCAATATACTTCCTATATGGGACCCCTGTAGCCGCTATGTCATTGAGTGCCCCTTGTGTTCTCCTTCTAGTTGAGAAACCCTACAAATGTGAGTTCTGTGGAAGGAGTTACAAGCAGAGAAGTTCTCTTGAGGAGCACAAGGAGCGATGCCGTACATTCCTTCAGAGCCCTGACCTGGGGGACACGGGTGAGTTCATGTAGCACTGGTTCCACACACATTTAGTGAGCATCTACTGTTTTTTTTTTTTTTTTTTTTTTTGACAGGCAGAGTGGATAGTGAGAGAGAGAGACAGAGAGAGAAAGGTCTTCCTTTGCCGTTGGTTCACCCTCCAATGGCCGCCGTGGCCAGCGCGCTGCGGCCGGCGCACCGCGCTGATCCGATGGCAGGAGCCAGGCTCCAGGTGCTTTTCCTGGTCTCCCATGGGGTGCAGGACCCAAGCACTTGGGCCATCCTCCACTGCACTCCCGGGCCACAGCAGAGAGCTGGCCTGGAAGAGGGGCAACCGGGACAGAATCCGGCGCCCCGACCGGGACTAGAACCCGGTGTGCCGGCGCCGCTAGGCGGAGGATTAGCCTAGTGAGCCGCGGTGCCGGCGAGCATCTACTGTTCTAAGGGTGTGAGATACAGGAGTAAATAAAAAGATTTTAAAAATCCTGCCCTAGTGGAATCTGTATTTTGATGAAGCCAGGCAGATTAGGGACAAAGTAGAAAAGCAAACTCTATGAGAAGGTTGGAAGGTAGTTAAGTGTTACTGAAAGAAATTAAGCAGGTATTGAGGAGTGTCAATGAACCACAGAAGGATTCCACAACATAACATTTTAACAGACTTAAAGGGATGAGGAGTGAGCCCAGCAGATAACCAAAAAACAGCAAGTACAGAGGTCCTGGGACTCAAATTTAAAGCCCTGTAGAGTCTTCAGTGGGGATGGGTGTTATGGCACAGTGGATTATGCCACCACTTACAAGGCCAACGACACATGTCAGAGTGTTGGTTCAAGTTCCTGCTGCTCTGCTTCTGATCCAGCTTCTTGCTAATGTATCTGGGAAAGCAGCAGCAGATGTCCCCAGTGTTTAGGCCCCTGCCACCTATGTGGGAGACCAAGATGGAGTTCTTGGCTCTTAGCTTCAGTCTGGCCTAAAGCTGGCTATTGTAGCCATTTGAGGAGTGAATCAGCAAATGGAAGATCTCCCTCTTGTCTACTTACATGATTTATTGTGATGTTTATATTTGTCTTTGGGGATTTCCTGTTTTGTTCATTGATTTGAATTAGATGCCTATTGGTTATTGGTTGAACTAATAGATATCTTTCCATGTATCCATTGCAGTCTTTTTCCTTTTCATTCTTTGGTTGAAACAACCTGAAACATTTCATGTCACATCTCTGCAGTTGTCCTTTGTCCTGTCCAGTCAACCATCAGCTTGGTTTTGCAGCTTGGGTTATCTGACATTTTTCTTTGGTTGCTTGAACCTACTGCTTATTTAGAGTAAGAACAAATCGTCCTGAGATTTGGACTTCTACAAGAGTAGTTGCAGTTGAATCATTTGAACAGCCTAAAGCAGAAGTATTACAAAAATATGGCAGAAATAATGTGAAACTCAGGAACAATCGGATGGAAATCATTAGGATTTAAGCTGTTCCTATTTTGGATGTTGTGGTTCAGTGGGTTAAGCTATTGCTTGGAACACCTACATCCCATGTTGGAGAGTGAGTTCAAGTCCTTGATACTCCACTTCTAATTAAGTTTCCTGATAAAGCATCCCAGGAGGCAGCAGGTGCTGCTGTGGTACTTGGGTCCCTGCCACCCACATGGAGACCTAGATGCTGTTCCAGGCTCCTGACTTCAATGGGCCTAGCCCAGGCTGTCTCTCATTCCCTCTCTCCCTCTCTCTCTGCCACTCTGCCTTTCAAATAAAAATAAATAAATAAACCTTAAAAAAAAAATCTCTGTTTTAAATGAAAGAAAATTTGTGTTTCAGATACAGCCTGTTTTACAGTGTTCAGAGTTGGCCAACTGAATTCTGTTGGTTTGTTCTGCTTCTGCTGTTTATCCTGGTGGCATCCTTAGTTTTATCAAAAAGTTGGATTTCCTTCGTATTTCTAAAGAGGAATGGTCACTCCTTTAAAAAAAAAACCCGAAACCTGAGTTTTTCTACATATATATATATATATATGTATATATATATGATGCATTTATTTGAAAATACTCAAACTGCTGGGACTCAAACTGGTGCCCATATGGGATGCTGGCACTGCAGGCCATGGCTTTAACCCACTGAGCCTCAATGCCAGTCCCGAAACTTGAGTTTGACATAAGAATGACAAGCTTCATGTTAATCAGGCATTACTTACTTACCCAAGGACACATTATAGGCATCTTTTACTTGCAGTTCCACATTTTAGAAAATAAGCAAAGCTCTTACTTGTGAGACATTCCCAAGTCATGAAAAAATCCACTGGATACCAAGTGGATTCATTAATATTTAAAGCTAGAAGTATGAAAGAGGGCATTGAATCCTCTTCTTAATTTTAGAGATAGGAAAACCAAGACTCATCTCAAAATTCAGTGACTGACTTAAAAATTTCTACAACTTTAGTTGTTTTGTGATTAGCTATATATTCTATTTTTAAAGAAACTCTAGATGTAATTCTCATACCATAAAATTCACCTTTTTAAGTGTACAGTACAGTAGTTTCAGCATATTCATAAAGTTATACTACCATCATCATTATGTTACATTTCCATCCACCCTAGAAAAAATCCTTAGTTGACACCTCCCGTTCCCACTTTCTGCCCCTGGAAGCCACTAATCTATTGTCTGTCTCTATGGATTTACATTCTCTGGACATTTCAATGTAAATGGAATCATAGACTATGTGGCCTTTTATTCTGGCTTCTTTCACTTAGCATGTGTTTAAGGTTCATCCATGTTGAAATATGTATCAGCTCTTAATTCCTTTTTTGGCCGCATAATAGTCTGTTGTATGGATTTACCACATTCTATTTGTCCATCCATCAGTAGACATTTGGATGAGTTTTTTCCCCTACTTTTTGACATGATTGGCTGTATTTTTTTTTTCCTGAAAGTAGGGGGAAAAATTTGTAAAGGATACTCCAAATTCAAAATTATTGATTTTGAAATAAGGTCACCACCTTACTCTATTCCCACAACCTTTTACATGAATTTAAAATTAGGTAACATAACAAAAGAAACTTTTCAACTGTCTCCAGTGGTGTTAGGTGATTCAGGAAATGCTAAAACACAGAGGTTGAGTTCATTTGCATTTCATGCAGTGGTTTGATGGATGCATACAACATACTTTAAGTTTCAGCAAAAAAAAAATAAAGGGTTAACAAAGTCAGCAAGTTTTGATTTTTTGACAAATATGTTGTAATGGTGGTTTCAGATTACAGAATGTATAAAGTCACAACTTCATCAAGTGTAAATACTGCATGCCAGTCAATATATTACCCTTTTGTTTCAAACAGTTCCTGTAATTTTCCTGAGATCCAAAGTATAAAGAATGTTTAATATAATATAAACAAGTCCTTTAGTTATTGCCACTGCTCTGCATGTGGTTTTCATTTCTGTTTTTTTTTTTTTTTCTTAAAATTGAGAGTGCAGTGTGGGCAAATGTTCCATTCCAAGTCTGAGCAGTACAGTATACCTCACACCTTCATCCCTCACCTTTAAAGTGGTGATGCTCCATCACTACTGTGGAGACAGCACTTGTTCATCAAACCTTTATTGTAAATTAAACTGTAGCATCGTGTGAGTGCCAAGCTTTGGGACAAACCTTTGTGGATGCAGATCGAAAGGCCTTGTGCTAAAGACTAGCCTGCAAAAGAATGTAAGACATGGGCGACAGCACTTCTGGCCTTGACAGTCATTTTCTTTTACTGAGATAGCATTTGTGGAATTCTCTCTGTGTTAGGTTCTGTTTCAGAACTATTTAACCCACCGTCCAATAAGACATTTGATCTATTGATACAACACAAAGGGCTAATAGAAACACTAATATTGCTGCTTCAGTCCAAGTTTCTATACCAGATATCATGAGTTACATTCTCAAAATATTCCAGTTGTCCTATCTTAATGGATTATTTATGAAAAGAGGAAAAAATATAGATGATGTGGACTTCATTGTCTCATTAGCTTGATCCTTACTCCAGACAGGGACCAACAGCTGGTATACAGATTGATTTAGCCTCATTTCACACTTATGAATTCTTACAGCAGGACTTATTTTTATATAACAGTGAGCTCTAGCAGCAGTAAGATTTTTAAAGTATTTGATTCTGAACCCAGGAGTTAGATCCTTTCATCTTCATTCTCATTGGTTCAGTTTAGCTAATGTAAACGTAATGATTTCAGAGTAAAGTTATGTTTTACCAACTTGTATTTTTGCCAAAGGAAAAGTTTAAAATATGTGTCTATGTTCCCAACTAATATAAGAAGTGGCATTCATTTTCCTTGCTCCAAAGGGCAACAGTTTTATATGTTTTTTGTGAGATCCTGCATCCATCTCTGATAGCTATCTCTTGGTAGACAATTCTTATTGCATAATAATACCCCTTTGTTTCACTCTCTATTAGCTACTGACTGACCACACCATAGAGAAGACAGGAAATAAAGCCTCTTGTTTAAGCTCCATTTAGCACTCCAAGATCTAATGAAGATTTTGAACAAAAACAAAAGACAACACATTACATAGTTAACCTTACAATCACTTTGAGACAGAAATTGCATAATGGAAACAGTTAGCTAAAAACCAAACTAGTAAGACTTGTGCAGAGAATAAAGGTAGGAACCCATTTTTGTGATTTTAATTTTGTGTTACATTTTGTTGTTTGCTTTTTTCAACATATCTTTAAAATCACTTAGCTAATGAATATTGGTACATTCACTATGTAGCAAGCAAGTGGCACAAAGGAAAACTGAACCAGAATTACAGTTCTACACCTTCTGTGCTCTATCATGAACCACATGTGCAAATTGTTCCTTGCCACATCCCATGTAATGTACACCCACCCCTTGCAACATTAAACCGCCAAACACTACCCAGGAACGGATTTCCTATTTCATCATGTAAACCCATTATCTTGTTCCCTGACTCTCTTGCCAAACTGGTTTCCCTCTACTTACATTTCTGAGACATGATGTGGCAAGATAACAAGTCTAGACTGTATAGACAGTTGGACCCTAAAATTGGGACAGAGGACCAAAGCCACAGTCCCTTATTTTTTCTTTCCTGTGCACTACCTAAACTCCATTGTAATCCCAAAGAGACTGTGCAACCACTAAGTGACTCTTTGTGTTTCAAAGGGTGACCAGTATTGTATATCAGCTGCAAACAGTTGCAAGGCAAAAAGTTGGCAGTTTAGGAAACAGAATGAGAGTGCATCATATTCATTTGAAAATGAGCCTTTGAGGCCAGTGCTGTGGTGGAGGTTAAGCCTCCACCTGCAGCACAGGCATCCAGTCCTGGCAGCTGCTTTTTTTTTTTTTTTTTTTTTTTTTAAGATGTATTTATTTATTTGAAAGTCAGAGTTACACAGAGAGAGGAGAGAGAAAGAATTATTCCATCCGCTGGTTCACTCCCCAGTTGGCCACAATGACTGGAGCTGGGCCAATCTGAAGCTAGGAGCCAGGAGCTTCCAGGTCTCCCATGCGGGTGCAGGGGCCCAAGGAATTGGGCCATCTTCTACTGTTTTCTCAGGCCATAGCAGAGAGCTGGATCGGAAATAGAGCAGCCGGGATTCCAACTGAGGTCCATATGGGATGCCAGCACTGCAGGCGGCGGCTTCACCTGCTATGCCACAGCGCCGGCTGGCTGGCTGCTGCTCTTCTGATTCAGCTCCCTGCTAATGGCCTGGGAAAGCAGCAGAAGCTGGCCCAAGTCCTTGGGCCCCTGTGCCCTACGGGAGTCCCGGAAGAACCTCTTGGCTTCTGGCTTTGGATCTGCTCAGCTCTGGCTGTTGCAGCCATTTGGAGGGTGAACCAACAGATGGAAGACCTCTCTCTCTGTCTGTAATTCTGCCTTTCAAATAAATAAATAAATCTTTAAAGAAAAAGAAAGTGAGCCTTTGTCTAACTTGGCAATTAGAAAATATAGTTAACTCAGTGAAGGTGAGTTAACAAATATGTCTCATATTTGCTGTCCATGAATGAACTCTCCGATTTTTTTTTTCAAATGTTAGATATTTGGTCACTCACTTACTTACTGTGTAAGATTTTTGTGGAAATGACTGTCAAGACTAGCTTGATGGGTAACCAGGAATAAAAGCTGATGTTATCTCAGAAGTTGCCATTAGTGCCGTGCCCTCAGTATGTTTATTTAGGTCAATGTGTCTGTGCTTCAGCATCCTCACAAATGCAGAGGATGTTGACTACGTGTCCCCGGGAAGCTGTTTGTTGTCACTGATAGAGACTTTGGTGTAATGTAGACTGTGACTGCTGAGAGGCCAATGGGAAAACTAGACTGGCAGGATAATGCATGGATAGGTCCCAGGTAATGATTTGGCCATGAGAGCCAAGAGACTGATAAGAATAGTGGTAAGTGGAAATAAAAGGTAAAAATTCCAAGAGATCTCTTTTTTATTTTCATTTCACTTTAAGTCTTTTTAGTAGTAAAGATAGGGTAGGGGGAGCCTCATTTGGATTTAATCCTCTTAGAATTGCTCCAACCAGAATAAATGTTACTGGTCAGAGCATAAACTTCACTGCTTTTCTCCTGCTGCTAAAAAAAAACCTCCTTGTAACACCCTCAGGAACTTATTTCAGATTCCAGCCTATGTCTTTCATCTTTCTACCCTTGGGGCTTTGGGTAGTGCCACATCTGGTGGTGGTTTGTGTGAAAGGAAATAATATATATATAATAGTTTCCTGTTTGGTCATTTAAACCTATCCCTTTGCTGGACAGAATTTGACCCACTTCACTCAACAGTAGTGTCCTGTCCAATAGCTGAAGTGCTAAAGTTGCAGTACTCCACTAGTCCAAAACCCAGAACTTTATTCTGGGCCTTACAGTAGCTGTTAATAGTTTAGACTCTAGGCTCTGATTTACTTCTGTAGAGCCTAGGATTATTTTTGACAAGAACTTTACTGGTAAATATTATCACTATCACTATCCTCTTCTCTTACTCACTTTTGGAGCCAGGTTTCATTTTATTCTTGAATTTAAAAAGAAAAAACTGAACTTTATAATGTTTGTATAATGGCTAGCTGAACATTTTTATTTTTTAATGCCATTAATAAAATGAAAAATATTTAGTACTTTGAATTCTCTGTTTCTAATTCGGATTTGGGTCTCATCCTCAATGTCTTACCCTGGAGGGCTTTCCCTTCAATCATTTCCTTCAAAGGTGGCTAGTTCTCTTCTTTTTGGGAATATCCATTTATGGTACTAAATGTCTAGGAGACTGTGGAACTGGTGACATTAGTTCTTTGTATCAGAATCTCTTTACCCAGCAAACATCATGCTCTTCAGTTACAGAATGAGCACTAACAACTTCCAGGCCTACATATATGAGTATTTTGGAGGAAAAATTCCATTCTGTAATCATCACTGGCTTAGTCTCTTAAACTAATTTCAATTTCTTCTTTCTTAGCAGAATTAGAAATGCACGGATATTTCATTTTAGTTTAGACTCCACAAATACTTATAATAAAACAGAAATGTTGGTAGCACTACAGTATGTTTGCTTAGTGCAGGAGAGAGCAAACCAGGCCCACAGGTAGCAGTTTATCTTTTTTAAGGGTATAAGGCAGAATTAATAAAATAAAATAAAATAAAATAAAATAAAATAAAATAAAATAAAGGACAGAGACTTTGTGTGTCCCACACATTTCAAATATTAACTATCTGACTCTTTACCAAAAAAAAAATTTTTTTTTGCTAATACCTGGCTCAGGCTAGCTTCAAGTGTTGAAGTTTCAAACTTTAGAACAGTTGGTTTCTCTTTAAACTTTAGAGATGACATCTTACTGGATACTGTCTGCTGTATCAAGGTAAATTGTGCTATGAATTTAAAAAAATTTTTGCTTTCATTTCATTTGAAAGACAGAGAGATGGAGAGATCTTCTATCTGCTGCTTCACTCCCCAAATGTCAGCAAAAACCATGGCTGGGTCAGGCAGAAGCCAAGACCATGGAACTTCAGAACTCCATCCAAACCTCCCACATTGGTGGCAGGGATTTAAGTACCTGAGCCAACATCTGCTGCCTCCCAGAATAAACATTAGCAGGAAGCTGGACAGGGAAGCAGAATAGCCAGGACTCAAACCAGGCACTCTGATATGGCCACTCTGAATTATACTCTATTTAAGGGCCTGTAACATTGGCACAGTGAGTTAAGCTGCTGCCTGCAACATCAGCATCCCATACTGGAGCTTTTGTTTGTGTCCCAGATTCTCCACTTCTGGATCCAGCTCTCTGATAATGTGCTTGGGAAAGCAGTGAAAGATGGCCCAAGTACTTGGACCCTTGCCACGCACTTGAGAGACCCAAATGGAGTTCTAGGCTCCTGGCTTTGTCCTGGCCCAGCTCTGGCCCCCGAGGCCATTTTGGGAGTGAACCAGCAGGTAGAAGATCTCTTTCTCTGTCTCTGTCTCTGCCTCTTTCTCTGTCACTCTTTCATAAAAATAAATCTTTAAAAATAAATAAATAGGCCGGCGCCGTGGCTCACTAGGCTGATCCTCCGCCTTGCGGCGCCGGCACACTGGGTTCTAGTCCCGGTCGGGGTGCCATTGGAGGGTGAACCAACAGCAAAGGAAGACCTTTCTCTCTGTCTCTCTCTCTCACTGTCCACTCTGCCTGTCAAAAATAATAATAATAATAATAAAATAAATAAATAAATAAATAAAAATTATACAGATGTATTCCAATTCTCTAGTCTAATTGATTATATATTGGTGCTGTTCATATATTCTTCTAGTGGTTCTCAATTCTGGCTTCATTTTAAAATCATCAGGGGATTTTTGAAAATACTGTTGCCCAGGCCCCTGTATCAGTGATCCCGATTTCATTGATCTGAAAGGGGAGCCAGGGTATAGGTATTTCTTATTTATTCTTTAGGTGATCCTAATATGCAGGCAAGTGTGAGAACACTGGCCTACTGCCATCCAAAGATCTTTTCCAGGACTGAAAATTTAGCCCATAATCTTGGGCAATTTTTATTCATATTTTTCATTAGAAAAATAATAGCAGTACATTATACAAATTGTTCTTTAATTTCAAGACAGAAGTATTGCTCAGGGAAATGTTAACTGAGACAGTTTTGAAAGAACAGCATATGAAACAAATAATGCAGGCCCAGAGAAATAGAATATGAAAGATAGGATCTGAGACGAGCATGCTGACAAAAAAAAAAAGAAAAGAAAAAACCCTCAGAATTTCAATACACAAATCACTGAGTAGATTTTTTGCTATCTGGGTGAATGTATCTATTTTCAAAAGTGCTATTAACATAAACAGAACAGTAAATCTGGGGCACCATACTTTTTTTTTTTCTTTTCAAAGTTGTTAAGAATTATATCAGTCTGCAGGTGTCACACGCAGTTACTCAGAATCAGAAAGAACGCTGAAGGGGGTTAGAAGATCTCCATCTATCTATCTTTTTGCAACCAACCACGTCCAGGCTGTTTATTTAATACTTCCTCTTGCTAATGAAGGTACTGGTTGGGGATGGGTTGGGCTTTCCCATCTCAGCATAAGACTGCAAGATTTGAATGTGCCCTGTTGTCGGCTTCACTGACCACGGCAGGTACCTGGCCAAGAATCTCAGTAGTACCAACAGGTAACAATGCAGAGCGCGCAGAAGACCTCGGACACTTTTCTTTCCAGTTTATTTCCTTTTCTCACTATTTACCAATGTGTTCTTTTTCCTCTCCTTTTTTCATTTTTCCAAACCAGCAAGTGTGGAGGCAAGACACATCAAAGCAGAGATGGGAAGTGAAAGAGCTCTCGTTCTGGACAGATTAGCAAGCAATGTGGCAAAACGAAAAAGCTCAATGCCTCAGAAATTCATTGGTAAGAATGCAAGCCTTTTTCCTGCTGCTGTTAGCAGATAGTGTGAATTAGCTAACAGGTCTATTACTACACAGGCCCCTACTAACAATCTCTTAAAATAAGGTAACTGGTTTTCCATTTTACTTTTATTCTTGGTAAATTTTGATAGCACTAACAAATAGAACAAAAGATGTTAAAGAATCCTAATGACAGAAGATAGAAGCATTGGGTATCCAATTTCCTAAATGCAAGTTGGGTTAAAAATGCTTTTCCTTCCTCTTTATAGTGAATGATATGTGTCGCATGAGAGAATTTATGCAATCTACGCCAGGAAGATGCTGGAGATAGCACTTTTGTAGTCTTTTGTAATTGTATTGTACAAGTAGGTTCTGCTAGTGTGCTCAAACTTTTTTTATGCTCTAGCATACTGCCTTATTTTTCTTAAGTTTGAGAATTGGCTTTAAGGCAAAATGGTTTGGGAGGCAAACAGATTTAAATAACAGTGTTTGATTCAATCATGTGTCTTATTGGCATTAATTTTTATGCCACTAGTTTTCACATTGTCAAAAATAGAACAGGATGAAATGACTAAAAAATGATTATATTCATTAAAGTGTCAGGGCTTCCAAATGGAAGATATTTTGCTGAATTCCCCCAGATGTTTACATACATGTGACTGTGATGTTTAAAATAGAATTGTATTAGTGAAAAAGGCAGCTGAATTGAATGTTTCAATTTTGTTATAAATTAAAATAATTTATAACAAAAATTATTTGAACAGAATAGTTACCACATGAAAATATACCTCCTTCAACACCAACATATTTTAGAAACCTACCAGTCTCCTTTTCCAAAGACCCTTGCCTGCTATTGATTTCTTCCTTCAATCCTTTTGTGTTTATTCTTTTTAATATCCTTTACAGATATTAAGTGCCTGGTTTTAAAATCTGGCTAAATTTTATTCTGGTTGAGATATTTTTACAGCAGACATTCTGTGTGACCTACAGAGATACGTTGAAAGAACCCAAAATAATTTCAAAATTATCTAACTTGATGTTTCTGCTTACTCATTTTATTTTGCTTAGCTGAAAGGTTTTTACACACCTTAGTCACTTATGCCTAAATTGTGTCAGACTAAAGTTGGTAGATTTCAGCCTAGGGAGATTCCCTTCTTCATTATCCCCTCTTCTTATGAGAACCACCATGTGGCCTGTAGTGACACTTCTATGTAGAATTTAGATATAGTGGACCAAGTGTGATTCCAAGACTTTGTTCTACAACATTGCCCATATATCTTTAAGCATTATTTATGTAAAGGCTGAAGTATGAAAGGCTTGGATCATTTTTGTATGCTAAGACTATATGTTAATTTAGAGAAAGTTTTGACCCTAAAAATGTCCTAAGCTGATATAGGGGGGAACAAGGGGAAAGATGGGCAAGAAAAACAATGTAAAGTGACTTAATTTCAATCCAGTTATGGTCAATGAATTTTGATGTAAGAGAACTAAAATTTAAGAAAAAATACCTATATCTTATAGCTGCCCTAAACATGTAGTTGAGCTGAAGCTCTACTTACTATAATAAAAGTTGGTTTGGCATGTCCATGTGTTTAGAAACTCATTTCATATAACCAGATCCAAGCCATTTTGCCTGTTGCTTCAGGGATCCATTCTATTGAAACCATGAGATTTTCTTTCTTCCTGGTCTCCCACTTGGGTGCAAAAGTCCAAGGTCTTTGGCCATCTTCTACTGCTTTCCCAGGCCATAGCAGAGAGGTGGATCGGAAGTGGAGCAGCCAGGACTCGAACGGTACCCATATGAGATGCTGGCACCACAGGTGGCGACCTTACCGGCTATGCTACAGCACTGGCCCCAATTAGATTTTCATTCCTCCACTTCCAGACTAATGAGGGGCACTGATTTTGTGGGTGCTGGTTTATCTCCTGAACCATCATGTTCTCTCTGTGCTTGATTCAGAAACCTACTAGAGTTGGTTCTTGTTCAGTTGCGCTGAGGTAGCAACTTCAGGGATTCAAAGCACAGAATGATTGAGAAGATTTTATTTTATTATATTTTGATGAACTGTCTCTGAAGCCAGAAGACCCAGGTTCCGACTCTAACTCTGTCATTTCTGAACTCTGTGTGTCTAGAAAATCACAAGTCCTTTCTGGACCTCTGTGTTTACTCATCTGTGAAATGAAAAGACTGCACAGGTAATGAAGGGACCAGGAAGTCTTCTCCCATCTATAGATCTGTGATGGCTAAGAAAACACATCTGAAGCAGCAGTTATGAATACTACTTTTTGTTTTTTTAAAGCCCATGTGCATAGTTCAGTAATTTTTTTTCTCAAGGCTGCACTAGATATGGTGTTTATATTACAAACCATATCATGTATTTTAGGTTTTTTTTCTAAGGAAGATGTTGTTAAAAGTGGACGTCTGAAAAAAACAATTATGAAGCAAGCATTTAGCATAGTGACTGAGAAGCCTGCATCCCACATCAGCATTCCTGGGTTTGATGCTTGTTTGCAGCTCCTGATTTTAGCTTCCTGCTAATGCAGATCCTGAGAGGCAGCAGTGATGGCTTCAGTAACTGGGCTCCTGCCACCACGGAGGACACCTGGATTGTGTTCTTAGCCCTGGCTGCTTTGGGCTTTTGGGGAGTGAACTGGCAGATGGGAGTTCTCTCTGTCTGTCCCTCTTTATGTCTCCCTGCCTGTCAAACAAACAAACAAATAAAAATAAGTAAATAAATAAAAAATTTGAAAAGCAGTTTCATTAGCTCAACATTCATCTATTTTACTTAGGAAAGTACTGTTTTTTTCATTTGCTGTTTCATCCATTCATTGGTCATTCAAATGGCTAAGTGCTCTGTTATGAACATGGTATACTTGTTCATGGGTATTCACTTATATCTTAAACCTTTGTTGAGAGATTTTTTTTTTTTAATTAAAGAAAATTACTTAGCCGGCACCGTGGCTCACTAGGCTAATCCTCCACCTTGCGGCGCCAGCACACCCGGTTCTAGTCCCGGTCGGAGTGCCGGATTCTGTCCCGGTTGCCCCCTCTTCCAGGCCAGCTCTCTACTCTGGCCCGGGAGTGCAGTGGAGGATGGCCCAAGTCCTTGTGCCCTGAACCTGCATGGGAGACCAGGAGAAGCAGCTGGCTCCTGCCTTCGGATCAGCGCAATGTGCCGGCTGCAGCGGCCATTGGAGGGTGAACCAACAGCAAAAGGAAGACCTTTCTCCCTGTCTCTCTCTCACTGTCCACTCTGCCTGTCAAAAAAAAAAAAAAAGAAAGAAAGAAAGAAAGAAAGAAAAAAAAGAAAAAAATTGCTTGACTCATTTGACTGAATCATGCTTAGTACTCTGTCCATTCTTGGCTTCCTGACCTCTTGAATCGTGAAGGTAGAAGTGAAATTATACCATCAGGTCAGCTCGTCCTGCTGAGTTAGAGACCATAACCTTTGGTAGCATTAGAAGTGAACTGAGGGGGCTGGCATTGTGGTGTAGCAGGTAATGCCACTAACTATGGCACCAGCATCCCATATGGGCACCAGTTTGAGACCTGGCTGCTCCACTTCCAATTCAGTTCCCTGCTAATGTGCCTGGGAAAGCAATAAAAGATGGCCCAAGTACTTGGGCTCCAGTACTCATGTGGGAGACCCAGAAGAAGCTCCTGTCTCCTGGATTCAGCCTGGCCCAGCCCTAGCCATTTTGGTCATTTGGGGAGTGAACTAGCAGATGGAAGATCTCTCTGATGCACCCTCTCTCTAACTCTGCCTTTCAAATAAATAAAATAAATATTTAAAGAGAGAGAGAGAGAGCCAGTGCCGTGGCTCACTTGGCTAATCCTCTGCCTGTGGTGCTGGCACCCCAGGTTCTAGTCCCGGTGGGGGCACCAGATTCTGTCCCGGTTGCTCCTCTTCCAGTCCAGCTCTCTGCTGTGGCCCAGGAAGGCAGTGGAGGATGGCCCAAGTGCTTGGGCCCTGCACCCGCATGGGAGACCGGGAGGAAGTACCTGGCTCCTGGCTTCAGATCAGCGCAGTGCGCCGGCCTTAGCAGCCATTTGGGGGGTGAACCAACAGAAGAAAGACCTTTCCCTCTGTCTGTCTCTCTCTCTCTCTCACTGTCTAACTCTGCCTATCAAAAGAGAGAGAGGGAGGCTGGCGCCGCGGCTCACTAGGCTAATCCTCCGCCTAGCGGCGCCGGCACACCGGGTTCTAGTCCCGGTAGGGGCGCCGGATTCTGTCCCGGTTGCCCCTCTTCCAGGCCAGCCCTCTGCTGTGGCCAGGGAGTGCAGTGGAGGATGGCCCAGGTGCTTGGGCCCTGCACCCCATGGGAGACCAGGAAAAGCACCTGGCTCCTGGCTCCTGCCATCGGATCAGCGCGGTGCGCCGGCCGCAGCGCGCCGGCCGCGGCGGCCATTGGAGGGTGAACCAACGGCAAAAGGAAGACCTTTCTCTCTGTCTCTCTCTCTCTCACTGTCCACTCTGCCTGTCAAAAAAAAAAAAAAAAAAAAAGGGAGGGAGGGAGGGAGGGAGGGAGGAAGGAAGGAAGGAAGGAAGGAAGGAAGGAAAAAGAAATAAAAAGAAACTGAGGAAGAGGGATGTATTGGAGTAAGTCTAAATACATTTTCAAACACAAGAGCATCCCTCTATTAAAGAGTTAAGTTAAATAACTGCCTAAGGAAAAGAAAAAGAAACTTTTTTTCTAATTCTTTAAGACATTTTATATTATTCTGTGTCAAATAGGAAATAAATGGACACTCTATCTGCCTTTCAAATAAATTTTAAAAAAATTTAGAAATTCTGTTCAATTGTTCTTGTCAAAAGACAAGAAGACTTTCCTTTTAGCATCCTAACCCTTTAAAGTGTTTTCATTTCTCTGAATCTTGTCCTCCTGTTATAAACTTGTTTGTTCTTCGAGCTAAGCCACCTCAAATGCTTAGCTCAAAATGGAGACCACATTTTTCTGCCAGAGGAAAGAGAAATATGATTGCATTTCTGCATATTTGTTTTT